GTATTTTTTCCTCTTCCCCCCCTTAGCCAGTTTAATTCTCTTCACCAGCTCCTTTGTTATCAGACAAAAGTCAATGCTGATGCAAGAGTGAAGTGGAAATACAGGGTCCTGGGGAGGAGGAACTGCAACAGGACCAGCTTAGTTCTGCTTCATGCATTGTAAAACCACAGTGCAAGTGGTAGAGGGTGTGGAAGATCCTAAATTAACTTTGAATTCAAAACAGACCAGTCAATTTAAGAAACATTTATATTTGTGGGGAAGGTCATTGAAACCCGTTTTAAGTGAAACTTGAGATTGCATGGAAAAGAGCTTCAGGGTTAAAGGCACAAGGCTACAAAAGAATGGTCTGGGGTGAGCTTCCAGTTGAGGGTTTGGAGAGAGAAAAGGAAAAAAAAGTCTCTCATATGTGCTATTGTTTTCTTATGAAATCTTTGAGCAACTTAATAGATTGCTTTCTATCCTGCTACTTTTCAGCAGTTGAGAAGTAATTTATTGGGCAACTAATACTGCACTGCATCAACAAATGGAAAATACTGTCCAATTGTCTTGTTACTTCTTACTTTATTAGGTCTAGATTTGCATCATTTATGTACTGTTTTTAATTAAAGTAGCAAAAAGTTTGAGTAATTCTGCACTTGATCAGGTGTGCTGCTACTTTGTTTACTTTCCCCTCCTGGCTATCTCCAGATCTGCATTAGTGTGTCAGTGACAAGTAAAAGCAAGGGGAAGGAGGGGAATTCAAAAGAAGTCACTGATATGTGTTAGGAGCTTTCAGAAGCAGTTGTAATGCTTCAACATTACGATTGAATTGAAATATTTCTAAAGGTACTCCCAGATTTGTAAATGGGTTTTATAGATAGTTCATAGTAACTATATAAATAGTTATTTTGGAATAGTTGATTGGATCAGTTGAAATTACATCTGAACACTGTGTTGCTGATACTTGTTCGTAATTTTCTACACAATTTTAGAATTCAAGTTTCCCTAATTTAAAGATGATGTTTTAGGGGCAAATTTGACTTCTACATCCACAGTAATGGTATAAAAGATTGTACTTGGCCTACAGGAGTTGTTCAATAGTTTAGTTTTGAAATCAAGGTAATTTATCATGGTATTGTAGAAAGCATTTCAGGAAATGAAGAATTGCTGCAGTATTGGGGTGCTTAAAAAAACCCCAAAACCTTAATCTCAAAGTGTCTGCTCACCTACTTATTTTGTTTAAATCTTCTCCTCGTCATCTTCCAATTTCATAAAAATGGCAGAAGGGTAGAACAGCAAAAAAAGCTGTCACCTTTCCTACCCTGTCACTCAGAGCAGGCTCATTTCTCCATTTTGAAGACATTTATTGGTAGTTTCCCCAGTCACCTGGAGCATAGTCTAGCTTCCACTTTGCACATGTCCATAGGCAAGGACACTTATCATTCCAAATGTCTTGTCAGGCAAAGAGCTGAACTCCCTTTGCTCTTCTGTGTGGAGCAGAGTATCTAAACCAGCTTGGCCTCCTGGAAATCCTTTCTAGACCATCAGCTCCTGCTGACGTGGTGCCCTCCATGGCCCTGGTGCTGTGGCTGGGAGGGCACCCCAGGGTCTGGTGGTGACACTGTCCTTGTCCAGCACAGCCCCAGTGCCCAGGCTGGCTGTGCATGGCCTGCCTGCAGCCATGGCTGTCACCTGGAGGGACAGGCAGCACCTGGGAACATTGGGCTTTGTCTGCAGTGCTCTCTTCTGAGGGAAGCCTGAGCCAGAGCTCCATCACCCACCTGCTGCAGCAGCCAGCTTTGTCAGCCCTTGACATAACAAAGTTCAGGTTTTTCCTTCTCTTCCTGGTCCCTGTCACCCTTCCCTGAAGGGGCTGTTGGTTCCTGTTGTCCCTCACCCTGTCCCAATGTACACCCTGTGTACAAACAAGGGCTCAGGGCAGTGTCTGCACTGGAGGCTTGAGCTGGAATTCCTGTGTCACTCCTGAAACAAGGGCTTAGGGCAGTGTCTGCACTGGAGGCTTGAGCTGGAATTCCTGTGTCACTCCTGAAACAAGGGCTTAGGGCAGTGTCTGCACTGGAGGCTTGAGCTGGAATTCCTGTGTCACTCCTGGGCCCTGCTGAGCTCATGGGCCTTGCTTGGCTCAGTTTCTGTGGGGTAAGGAGTGTTCATTCTGTGTGGGGACTGAGTGACCCATGGTGGGAGTCATACTCAGTACAGCTCTCAAGCTCTTCTGTTTTTACAGCTACTAAAATGACAATTATAATAACCTGGTACAAGATAGTAAACAATTTCATTTGCATTCAAACATACTTAAATGTCCTTTTCATTAAATTTATGTAGTCTGGAGCATTTTCCAGGAATCCATGTCATATCTTTGTTATAAAGATTTTCTCCTTTACAAACTGATTTACTGTATGCAGTAAGAACTTAACATTAATGGCGTTTCACCATCTGTATTGGTGTAAGTGAAAATTACAGGTGGTATAAGCTCTTTTGAAAATTACCATGATGATTGTTAAGAGCTGCAGTTATCAATGTTTCTAAGGATGTTCAACACTATTTTATGGGTCTTACTAAAAATTACTTTAGTCTGACAAAACTCTATCACTTAATCTGATGTTTACCTTAGCTTCTATGTTTTACTGTAGCAGCTTAGCAGGTGCTAAATTTGGATTTGGGGAGGTGGAGAAAGGAGACAGTAAGAGACTGATTTTCTTGAACTACTCCATGCTGTGAAGTTTTGAAATGCAATTGAAGGTGTTGTGCTTGTATTTTCTGCTGTACTGTGAGATGCTATCCAAAATTAGCCTTCCTGTCAGTTCCTGAGACGTTTTGAGTTCTGGGTGATAGATGAAGATGTGCTGATGCCTGGTGTGACAGTGTCCTGGATGTGCCTGGTGCCAGTGATGCTCTTGGCCAGCAGTAGCTGCTTCAGCCAGGAGGCTCTCAGGCATTTGCTGCTTTTTTGGCACCTGGTAACCCTAAACAGCAGGGCCTCATCCTCTGAGAAATGCAGCAGTGAGGAGGGAAAATCATCAAGAGCAGGAGCTTCATTATAGAGAGGGAGGGTGACTTCATTGAGATGGAGTGACTGGGAGTGCAGGATCATCAAGATCCAGTGTTAAACTCCCAAATTCTTAAATCTCTAATTGTTTTAGTGTGCATTAACAAAACCCACTGGAAAAGTGTGTCATCCTCTCCTAGCAGTGAGCAGTGATCCCGTGCTGGTACCAGCAAAGCTGTTAATTAGTGCATGTGATTGAGTGTGCTCTGGGGAGCGTTCGTGTTTCCGTACTGAATGAGATTTCTGTCTTTGCTATACCTGCTTCTCGAAAAATTGGAACATATTTATTAATTCAGGGAGCAGCAGGAAGAGAAAGCAGTAAATGTCTGACTAAGGTAAATGTTTCCTGACAAGCTGGAGCATTCCTACTTGGTCTTTGTGAATTATATATAATTATGTGTAGAAATTTCAGAAGAGATGCTCTGTACATTACTCTGATATATATTTTTGCATATTTACTGCAGGAAGAAGTTAGGCTTTTACCTTTCTGGAGATTGTAATCCACTCTCCTCTCATTTAATTAGTGAAGTTTGATGAAAAAAAGTGTTACACTTGGCAATTCCCACACCCTGGGTACTCAAATACCTTCACTCTGGAAGGAGCCTCACCCAGCTGCTATTTATAATCTGATCCTTTTACCCACAATTCACTTCTTAAAGGGGAATTTCTTTTCAGTGCAGAAATCTGGTTTTGGCCAGTAGTGGGAGTGGGAAAGGGAAGGAGGAGTGTGACTTAGTAAAAGAGCTGTTATATTAAAGTAAGCGTGTGATACCTAAAAGCTTTATTTTAATTAAGATGCATAATTATCAGAAAGTTTTGGTGGATTTCTTTTGTTTTGTTTAACATGCAGAGTAAACATTTTTGAGTAAAATCAGTAAACAGATGATAAGTCTGGTTGATAGTATTATTTACTAGGAGTTATTCTTTGATTTTTTTATATAATGACAACATTTTTCAGTTTGTCACAGGAAATGAAAAAATGAGAAAGCCTTAAAAGACTTGGTAGGAAGATGTCCTTAGAAATTGGACCAATATAGCTGCTTGCTTATTGAGTGCATTTGGGTAGTATTATAATATTACTTTAATATATTTTGATGAATAATTGCATAATATTGCTTGTAACATGTTTTTAAGTGTTATTTGAGCCAGCATTGTTTAATTTCTCTGTTTCATATAAATAGATTTATAGCTTGTTGTTTGCTGGAGAGGAATGTTTGCTTCTCTGTCATGGTGCATGATTGAGTATGGTAAAAAGAACCTCGAAAAATTATTCTTATAAAGTTACTGGGAATGATGTGAAAAAGAATGAGAAGAATTAAGTTAAATTTTGGTATTAAATACCTGGTGGAAGAAAGTGATAGAAATATTTACCTTGGGTGCAATATTTTCAGGTTGCAGAGAGTAGGGTGAAGGTTGGATTAAAACCTCTCACTTTTAGAGAATTGAGGATCTTTTTGAAACCTTAATTCTTTTCTTGATGCTGATTTGTGTGAAAAGCTGAGAATTGCAGTAAACCTGGAACTGGTGGATAATCAGAGTTATTAGCAAATGTGTTCTCTAGGGGTGTGAGATCCCATGGTCATGGTCATCCCTTTTTGAAGGTTCATTGTTGAAGAAACAAGAGCCTGCAGTGGAATGTGTTGGTTTTGAGGGACACACAACATAGCCATGGAAGGTGGTGGGACACAATTTCTAAACTGCTTTGCAGATTCTGGTGAATTTTTGGAGGGGGCTAAGCTGTTGACTGCTATTCTAGGAGTATTAGGAATCTGTTTTTCTATTTTATAGCAGTGTTTTCTCTTCAGCGACATCTGTAAATTGGCCATTATCTGTAGCTTGGAGAAGTCTTTGGTACAAAAGCCTAGTATGAAATATAACTGAAAAGGGAATTACCTTCTGAAGAATTGTCAGTATGTAATATCTCAGTTAATCCCTTGCCTTTTGGTTTCCACAGGAATGCCCAAGGAAAAGTACGATCCACCTGATCCACGGAGGATGTACACAATTATGTCCTCAGAGGAAGCAGCCAATGGAAAGAAATCACACTGGGCAGAGTTGGAAATAAGTGGTAAGGAACTGAGGCATGGTCCTGAGTTAAGAACTCACTGCAGGTAGTGTGGGCTTGGAAAATCTGGGGTGGAGTTACCTACCTTGAAATGAGCCAGCAGAGCACAGGGATAGCTGAGGGTGTGTGGGGGGAAGAGCTTGGGCTGGGACAACACAGGGAGCTGTGGGAGGGGTAAAGGTGGGGCAAGTGGGAAATCTCCATGTGTAGGAAAGTTTTCAAGGTGGGGATATGGACGTGAACTCTTTGTGCTTTGAGATGATGAAGTGAGTGAGAGCATGAATTGAAGATTTAACTTCTCAAAGAGAACAAGGTGAAGTTGGGGTTGATCTGTAGTGGTATGTTCTTACTGCAGGCAATGTAACAACAAGGTATTAGTCCATGAAGCAAAAGTTTTCTGTTTAAAAGCAGTTGTAAATTTTGCTTTGCTCTTAAGAGTAAAAACAAACACCAAAGCCTCCACAATCTGTGCAAGCTTTGAGATATTATTGTTGGACTCTTGAATCTTTTCTGAAAAGGTCAGAATTAAAAAGCATGTATTTCAACTGGTCAGCCTCTCTTGATTTGTAGAGTAAATCCTGAGTTTGCTACAAAAAGTCTTTAACAGGAAATTCAAGGGAACATTTTAAGAATTAAAAAATTTAGTGACATTTTAAACTTAGGCTGTAATTTTGTGTAGACACAGAGGTTCTTTAAGAAGCTGCAAAAATTGCCATGTGGGATTTAAAAATGGCTGTAGAGAAATTTGAGAAGAAGAGGAATTTATAGAAGAAGGAGTAAACAAACAGTTCTTCAAATTGTGAAGAATCTTTCCATCCAGTTCACTGAATCTGTGCCTTGCTTCCAGTACCACGTGCCTCCCCATGTGAATAGCATTCTTTACTGAAGGTTACAGATGCAGAAACCCAGTTAAATGCTGCTTCAGGAATCAGCATTATACATCAGCATTAGGCTTGGAATCCTCTTGGACATCTGCTGCTCTGCATAGCAGTGCATTAAGTGATGGCTCTTTCCTTTCATGCCTGGTAATCTCACTATAGACTGATTCCACCGAGGGAGGTGCTGCAGTGGAGAGCCTGGATCAGGGATGTTGTTTGGAAATCCTTTCAGCTGCAAGGCTTTCTATGATCACAGTCACCTGTTTGCATTGGGGGTGGGGGAGAGGTGCTAATTCACTTTTAAAATGCAAAGAGCTATCCATTTGTGTTTAAAACCTTTCAAAAGATTTCTTAACGAGCATTAGAGGAGCATCAATCCCTTAAGAACTGTATGCATTTGCCTTGCAAAATAAAGTATGCAGTGTTTTTTGTTTCATTCGTGTTCACACTGTCCTTTCCTTGCAAAATAGTTGGTCACATAATACAGCAAGCCACAAATGTTTTAACTGATGTCATTTAAATCATGTTTTTTCATGACAGGCTTTTTTATGCTTTGTTTTGTTACAGCTCACTGGGAATTATACCACTATTAAACATTTTGTTGCCAGGGACTGAGTCCCAGATGCGCATGTCTCAGAGTAACCTTCCCTGGGCACTAAATATGAATTCTTATTTTGGAGAAAATAATTTAAGGAAGGGAATTAAAAAGTGTGTGTGTTGGTATAATATTAACCAGATTGTTGTTAACCTTGATGAGTCACAGTGGGCATTTTAAAGTTGTTCTGGCTAACTTTTTGCCTTGGAAAAACTGGTGATGGTACTCCTAATGCTTTTGGTACAGTGAAATGATTTATGTAAATGAAAAAGGATTTCCCCTTGGAGGAAAAAACTCTTGGAGACAAGAAATATTTTGAGACCTTCTGATGATATCTCACATTCTTTGCAGGCAGCAGTGTAAAAATCTTGATTCTGTCACACAAATCCATGTTTCCACACTTCAGTTTATACAAAAAAATCATACCTTTTTTAAAATATCTGGCAATAGTTGATACAGCTTTTCGTTGAATGCCAGATGGAAATCCATGTTCTCAACTAAGCATCTTAGTCACCCTAAATATAGTGTTTCTATCTGTTCTTGGCTGGATTAATGCCATAGAGTAAAGATTTTTTGGTTTGAAAGATGTGCAGAAATAAGGGATGAACCAAAGCACCGTCTTTCATCTCAGACATAAACTATAATTGAAAAAAATCTGTTTCTTACACTTCTGTTAATGATAAATTCATGGTCAGCTAGTTAATATGTTTTGTCTTGTATGGAACTAGATAAAGACAGATGTTTAAGCCTTAAATATGGATGGGGAAAAACAACCTCAAGCATCCTTGGCAATATCTTGCATTTTCTCACACAATGACAAATGTTTCATCTATAGAATTAGTGATTATGGAATTTACATTTAATAAAATAATAAAAATGTAATAATAAAAATACAATGACGATGATGATGATGATAATAATAATAATAATAATACCCACAAGCAAAACTCCCCGTCAAATTCCCCTGCCCCATACACACTTGAGAAATGTGCTATTATTGCCAAATCTATGGATTTGACATGTTCTGTTTTCTCTTGTACCTTTCTTCCACAGGGAAAGTGAGAAGCTTAAGTTCATCTTTGTGGACACTGACCCATTTGACAGCTTTGCATCTCAGTGACAATTCCTTATCCCGTATTCCTTCAGACATTGCCAAGCTTCACAATCTGGTATATCTGGACTTGTCCTCTAATAAAATCCGCAGTTTACCAGCAGAGCTCGGAAACATGGTGTCACTCAGGTATGTAAATCCTAACAGGAGTTAAAATTCTTCTTTTATTATCTTTGTAGCAACAGTTCAAATTTCAGCATAAGTAAAATCCCTTTTCCTCCCTTCTTATCTGCCTCCCTGAATACTTGCTGTGGGCTGTGCAGCTACAGCAGTACTGGCTTTTGTGTGATCTCCTGTTCTGATGTATGACAGCACAGAATGAGCCTCAGAAGTGCTTGGTTTGATGGCAGTCACCCATTTTATATTTTTCCAAATCAGGTTTCCTCTCAGGCATCTCTTTCCAGATTTTTTTACAAATATTTTATGTGGTGTTTGTCTCAAAGAGTAAGTGAAGCACCAAAAAAAAAAAATTGCTTTTAACTCATAGTAAGGTAGTAAAAAGATCAGATTAAACATTTATAATCCTGTTAACTACAGTGTTTTCCTCTTTATTCACATTCAGTAATTATATTTAACAACAGTTCTTGTTCTGTTTATTGTATAACAATTGCAACATCTAGGATCATCTAGTATGTCAGTATCATCTCCTCCCCACCTTTGCTGTGATGTAACTGCATTCCTGTGCAAACTGGGGAGGAGAAAAAAAAATGTTGTAATCACAGCTTTTCAGGTTTTTTTCCCTTCAGTTTTGCAATGCCAAGATGTACAAAGTTAGCCTGGAAGTGAAATGTGAATAATGGTGCCTATTTAGATTGCACTTAAGGCTGCAGCATTTTACTTTGTAAAAACACTGTTACATAAATATATAAATTATTTATGTAAGAGTAAATATTTACAGGCAACAGTCTTTTGCCCTTGACCCAAAGGAAGAGCCTTATCTTTGGTTTATTAGACAGTTGCCAGTAATTGCCTTCATTGCTTTTAATTTTGAAGATACTTCTGAACAGCTTTCTCAAGTCCAGAAAATGCAGTCTGAAAATAACAAGAATGTTATTAGAAGTAAAGGAATGATAGAGCAATGGACTGCCAGCACAGCTTTCATGAAATTGGAAGCAAAACAAGTTTGCACATAGAAATATCTGTCATTGCATTTTCCTCCCCTTTAGAAAAGTCTGCTCTGTTGGAGAGGATTAAACTAGCTGATTAAATTGGTGCTAAAAGCTCAAATTCCAGAGCAGTTCAAGCCTCAACCTTGGAGGCTGAGCAAAGGGACCTTGCTTTTTGAAGTATAATTGGCAGCTCTGTTTTGTAGCATGTTGTATAGTTGCTTTCAACTGGAGAGGAGTCTGTTCTAAGCTCTAGTTCTTTGCATTACTATTTCAATTAAAAGCAGTTATTAGTTACAGGTTTCTTCCCTTGTTTATTCAACTCCTTGGATATTGTGAAGTAGCAGCCCTAGATTTACTGGAATAGTCTCAAATTCATCTTTGTACTTAATTAGCCTCCTTTCAGTCTTTTTCTTTTTAAAACATTTTTGTAAATGTAACACTTGTGACATGGAGCTAGCTTAGCAGTGCAGAGTCATCAGTAATGTCAAGTCATTATGCATTCTTCCCAACACCACTTCTGATTTATTCTGGCTGATTCTATGAAGCTTCAGCTCTTGAAAGTCCTAAGTTTCTTCTGAGCAGATGAGGGTAAATCTTGTAAATGTGAAATGTGTGGCTAAGGTCTAGGATCACATAAGTTTTCTATTTATGACCACAACACAGCACTTGAGCCCAAATCTCTAGTTGTGCATGTGCACTGTGCTCCTCAGTAATTACAGCTGCTCCATGGTTTTTTTTACTGTAGTGTAAGTGAAGAAAAGCTCAAAAGCACATCCTATATGTGAGAGCACATTGCAGGTCCCAGCTGGGCCAAGGTTTTGTGTTCCAGGCTGGTGTTGCTGCAGACTCTTCCCCTGGATTCTGGGAAGTTGTTCAGACTAATGGTAATTCAGCCATGGGCATTGTTGATATCCCAAGCCACAGAAATCATTTGTGCTCTCAACACTGAGAGCTGATAACAGCTCCCCCAGCTCCCACACCTGGAGCTCTGGGTTTGGTCTGTACTGTAGAGCTCTCCCAAGACTCCTTTCATCTCCCTTTTTGCTGCAAGTAGTTGAAAAAAGAGATGTCAGAGCAGTAGGATTTCTGATCTTTGCAGAAAAAGGAGAGAAAAATAAACAGTGTAACATGTTATCTTGGAAAGCTCGGCTGTAAAACAGATCCTCTTGATATGCTTGAAAGAGCTTGAGTGCACCCCCAGTACATTTGCAGATGACACAGAGCTGGGTGGAAGGGTTGATCAGCTGGAGGGCAGGAAGGCTCACAGAGGGATCTGGACAGGCTGGGACCGTGGGCTCAGTGCTGTGAGTTCACTCAGGGGAGTGCTGGCTCCTGCACTTGGGTCATAACCCAGCAGTGCTCCGGTCTGGGGGAGCAGGCTCTGGGAGGCTCCCTGGTGGGGGTGTCAGCAGCAGCTGAACATGAGCCAGGTGTGCCCAGGGGGCTGAGAAAGCTGATGGCACCTGGCCTGGATCAGCAATAGTGTGGCAGCAAGACCAGGGCAGTGACTGTCCCCTGTGCTGACACTGCAGTCAAATCCTGGGGTCAGCTCTGGGCTGCTTAGGACAAGGAAGACACTGAAACCCTCCAATGCTGTTCTGGAGAAATCAACACGAGTTAAATTAACTCCTGCTTCCAGGTTTCCTTTTTGTTGCCCAGAAATACTTGTCAAGTCTCTAGATACCAAGTTCTGAACACTTTTGAGCAGCAACTTTATATTGATTGATTCTATGAAATAGAATCAATCACTGATTAGTGGGGATCCATTTAGGACAGTGAAAAGTTTATTTTTTCTGCCCAGTTTGTTGTCATATCAGAATTCAGAATATGAATTCTGCTCCTGTCTGTATATTGTTTTTGTGAGTTTCAAAGCACATATTTTGTCTTACCACTGAAATTATGAACCCAAACCAACAGAAAATTACCACTGTAAATGACTATGGTACTAAAATGCCTATGTAATAAATAACTATGGTAATGCCATCACTGTAATCATACTGCCGTGATCTTGGATTTTTAATTTGATTTCAGGGATGTAATTTCCCTTTATTTCTTAATCACAGCTGACCTGTTTCATGGTCTGATTTGTCTGAGCTGTTACTGCATCATCACTTGTAGCTACTAAAGTGTTTAATTATTGCTAATGTTCACAAAATGTCGGACTGTTTAAGATAAACTCTCCAAACAGATCCTTTCCTCTGTGCTTCAACATAATGTGTTTTGTCTGGTGTATGTGTCTGAGTACAGCAGGATTTCCCTAACAATTGCTGTTTAGTCTCTGAATTTTTCAATATTGTGGTTTGCTACTATATTGATTCTCTTCTAGTTCAATTTTTGTACTGCTGCAGATAAACGTTGCTCTGTTTTCAGACCCATATGATTCTTGCTCTGTCTACAGGGAACTACATTTAAATAACAACCTGTTACGAGTTTTACCTTTTGAGCTGGGAAAACTGTTCCAGTTACAGACTTTGGGTCTGAAAGGTACTGCTGTTTTTTTCTTGGTGTCTCTGCTTCTTTAGTGATACTGCTGCTGAGCTGTAATGGCTGTAGTCTGCTAGTACAGAAAATGTTACTGATTAGCAATCCAGATGTAGCTGCTCACTCCACATTTATAAATACTGTTACTTAGGGATTATTTAGAAAAATAGTAGGTTTGGCAGAGCAGTGCCCATAGAAAGAGGTTTCCTTTTCTTTTTGCAGACTGTGCAGAAGCTTTCTGTTGCTTACATGGGGGTTGAATGCAATTCTGCTTTAACTGAGAAATAGTCTGTGGTTAACTGTGGTACATCTCCAGCCAGAAAGGGAACATCCTTTGTACAGCTGCAGGGTTCTGTGCTGTTCATGCAAGCAGCAATTTAAGGCCTTTCCTTTTTCCCCCCCTCTCCTCTGAACTTTATGGAGTCTAGCTATAAAATTGCTGACCTTGCGGAATTTTGAGTCCCAAAATCAGAAGCACTGAGAGATATAATATGTCTATACACTCTTAAGTTTCAAAAGTCTGTTTATCTCCCCCTTAGAACTGGGCACTTGCAGTGTGTGCTGTCCATGACAGCTTCTGCAATCTGCTTATGTTTGGCAGATGGCAGAGTCTCTGCTGAGGTCTGACTGTCGGATCAGCTGCTGGGGGATGTTTCACACTGAGCAGAGGTGGCTCCTGTGTTTGTGCTCATCAGCTCTGCCTGTTGTACCACAAGTTCTTTCTTAGTCCAACCACCTTTGGGATGCCCAGTCCCACAGCAGAATCAGCAGGGAATGTTGTTAAACTTCACTAGGGCTGTCCACACATCCAGAGTTTTGTGGGACTGAAGACCTGAGATCTGTAATCCTGAAGTAGTTCATAGTAGATCTTGTCTCCAAGATGTCAGCTTTCAACACTGATATGCAAGTCTGCAATAGTTCTGTGTATTTTATTCAATATTCCTGTGAATTGGTTTGTAGGAAACCCACTTACACAGGATATTCTGAACCTGTATCAGGAACCAGATGGGACACGACGGCTACTGAACTATTTGCTTGATAATTTGGCAGGTACTGCAAAAAGAAGTAAGTGATCATTCTTCAAACATTTCTTTCTGCTGTGTTAAATAAATGTGATTATCACTTGTATCTCTATTTTAAAATGTTCCCATAGTTTCGACAGAACAGCCACCTCCAAGATCCTGGATTATGTTGCAAGAACCAGACCGTACAAGACCAACAGGTACTGTTACACTTCAAGATTTCTCATTTCTTCTATTTTCCTTTTAATAAAAGCTGTTGATCTTTACTGGAAAAGAAGTTAATGCTTAAATTAACCAATCATCTCTGCAGTGCTGACCAGCCAGCTGAAGTCATTCTATCCCAGTTGGAACACCTGTTCCAGATTTACCCATCTTTCACTCTAAAGTAATTTATTTTTAATTAACGTCCCCCTCACAGGAATTGAAACTGTTGGCCACAATTAGTTAAATGGTGGAATTATAACAGGCTTAATTTAACATTTGTTGAAGAATAAAAAAATTGAAGCATTTGAGCATGATTTCCAAAAAATGTACAATTAAGTAACCAGGGTATCATCCTTGATTCAGCATTTTTCTTGTTGTTGGGATCCAGGTCATGTTTAATTCTTTGCTGTTTTTTTTCCCTGCATAAATTGTGTTTTAAACACAGTCTTTTCCGTTTAGCCACACACTAAAAATCTTAGTGTATTTCTCAATTATTGCAGTGTCTTCTCTTTCAGGACTGATAATTCTCCCATTTTTAAGGTGATTACTTCAAAGATCACAATGTTAATGCAATTTCTGTTTTGCTGTCACCTATTTATTTGTTTTCAAAATGCTAGACTTTGACCCCAGTCAGACCAAGATTCTTTTCTTCAATTCTCTATATCTTCAAACAGTGGTCTTGTTTCTTTTTTCTACATTTGAGAGGAGCTTCCAAGTATCTCATTGTTGTACTACAAATTCTTTAAGTGCTTTTTGAAAACAAACCAACCTATAAAACCCAACAAAACAACCCCCCAAATCCGTGCTGCTGGATTACCTGTCAAATTGCCCCAGCCTGTCTCATTATTGCTCCTGTTTCAAATTAACACAGAGAGGAGATATTTCTTGTCCTATGCCTGACTGGCTTTTTGAGGTGGAATTATTTGAGGGGCTAATTTGCCTGCACTTTTCCTTTGTGTGAAAGGATCCTCACTCTGCTATGGACCTATTACAATTTGTGGTGGCAATAATTAAGGTAGATTTTAGAGACTCTAATTGTAGACTTGCTGACCTTTGTGTAGCTGGCAGATACAAGTGTTCAAATACACTTACTTTGTTTTGGGTTTTTCACAGTACAGCACCGCTTAGCATAAAACACATTTTTCTGTTCTTCACTGTGTTAACCATATAAAGGGGGGGTGTTTGTTTCCTAATTAAATGCTAGAAGACAGCTGCCATAAGTCCAAACATGTAATTTGTCTCCCTAGAAGAACTAACAATGTTTTTAGCACTGATACACATGCTGTGTTTTGGTTGAAACAAATGAAGCGTGAATTGATAAATTTGCAGAAGACAAAAGTCAAGAACACAATTGTATTTTTTTTTTTTAAATCTATCAGTGTGTAAGTAAAATTATTGTTCTGCAGCCTTGTTCTCTGTCATGTGTTACAACGTCCTCTGTGACAAGTATGCCACCCGGCAGCTGTATGGCTATTGTCCATCCTGGGCCTTGAACTGGGAATACAGAAAAAAAGCCATTATGCAGGAAATACTGAGCTGCAATGCTGACATCATAAGTCTGCAGGTAAAAAAAATTCACCATTCTTTCTTTTCCTTTTCTATTCCCGTGCGCTGGTTTCTTCACATCAAGTGTATTTTTAGTAAACGGTCTGTTTTCAAAACCTTCTGCAAACAAAAGAAAAAGAAGTGATGTTTAGAGCATTATTTGTTGCTTGACATCAAAAGAAGGCTCTCAGCCCCCGCAGTTGGAATGGGAACCAGCAGCCCCTGATCAAAGCAGTGTTGGTGGGGGTGGCTTTGTGCCTGTGTGTGTATGTGGGGCTGTAATTGACACATTTTCAAGTAAGAGGCTTGAGATAATCATAACTCCAGGGATTACAGAAATTCATTTATATTTTCTTAAAATAAGGATATTGCTCTTGAATTTGCATTCTCTGATGTACTTAATTTTTAGATTTTTTTTCCCCCTTAAATCTAATTTGAAAGTGATTTACACTTCTGAAGAGTCTAAATAATATCTGTCTTCTATATTTTGCTAATAGTACGTTCATGCTGTGCTGCCTTAACTTTACAGGAGGTTGAAACGGAGCAGTACTACAGTTTTTTCCTGGTAGAATTGAAAGAACGTGGCTATAATGGATTCTTCAGTCCAAAATCTAGAGCTAGGACAATGTCAGAACAGGAAAGAAAACATGTTGATGGTTGTGCAATATTTTTCAAAACAGAAAAGTAAGTGATGTGGTTTGCTAAGCCTTCTGTTGTCTCTTGCTCTTTTACATAATTTTTCAGGTGGGTCTTACAAGTCACAGTTGGGCTTTAACTGTTGTTTTGTAGCCAGGCAGGGTTTTGATAAAAACCATTCCTACCCCTGGAAAGACTGGTTTATATGACAGAGATCATTCTGTGTGGAACTAGCAATAAAAATTTAACCTTGAAATATTGAGTTGAATGACATTTCATTCTGTTTGAGCAGTGCTGGTTGGGAGTTCACTGAATTATCCTTCACTTGTTGAGTGTAATAATAGAAAATTAAGGAAATAATGAAAAAATGAAGCAGATTTTCTTGCCTTTTGTGGTTTTGAGTAAAGGAATTTGTAATCCCCCAAATTGCAGAAATAAGGCCTCAGATGACATTGACTTTTTGATACATTAGCCTTTGGTAAAGCAAACAACAAGGGATCACTGCACATTTCTGTAAAAAATCCTAATCATTTAAGAGCTGCAGCACTTACTGGTTGTGTCATATTGCACTGTACAGCTTTGGATGTGATGGTAATAATGTCCCTTCCTGCTTCCATTCCTCTGTATCCATAAGTAAATGTAGGTACCAGGTTTGCAACCTAGTGGCTTGGAAAGTTATTTACTCCCTCTCTGTCAATTCTACATATTTGAACTAGGAACAAATGCAGAGTTAGAAACAAGCCTGACTTTTCTAAAATACCTCTCTCACTATCAACAAAATATTTTAATTGTAACCAAGGTACTATAAACTACATGAAAATTGCTGTGAAAACTGTATCACTTGATTTCAATTTAGGATTTTATGAAATTATGTGACTGACTGAGATTTTCACATCATAAATGTGTTTGAGCTTTAATTAAAAGGGGAATTACTGATAACATTTCCAACTGTATCTGGCTGCTGAAAACAATTACATATGATGTTTTTCTTTCAGATTTACTTTGGTCCAAAAGCATACTGTTGAGTTCAATCAACTAGCAATGGCAAACTCAGAAGGTTCAGAGGCTATGCTGAACAGAGTTATGACAAAAGATAACATTGGAGTCGCTGTTCTGTTAGAACTGCGAAAGGAATTGATAGAAATGTCATGTAAGTCCCATTTCATTTATTTTCTAAATAGATGGTATTTTGTAAATAAAAAAATTACTCTTGTTATAATAAACAAGAGAAGCTAGGTTCTGCACATGAATTTGTCTTTGCAGTTTGTATGTTCAGACAAATTTATTTCCAAAGAGGATTTTGGGGAAAAGTCTTATTGTTTAAATTCTGAGGGGGTTTTTCCCCCCACTTGTTATTTTTAAGGAAAAAAGATATAAAAACTTGAGTGATTTTGTTGTTTGGTTTTGGGTTTTTTTTGAAAACTGTGTACAAGTATCACAGAATCAGGTGGTGTTAGTTGTGTGTTTCTGGATCATGTATCTCCATCATTTTAACTTATTTTCTTTGCTGTCATGCCTAAACAAACTGTTTGTTCTGCCCTGTCATTCTTAATTTAGGAAATGTAAATTGGCTTTATAAGTATCACAGTGGGAACCTACTCAACCTGTGTTATATTTATCCAAATGATATTTTATTAATTCAGATTGTAGCAAACAAGCCGTTTAAGAAACACTTCCAGCAAGAGAGGTAACTCAGAGTGTGGATAACTTAGAATTCAGAGCTTGCTGCCTAATAAGATATGAACAGAGCCTGTTTGCTATCATAGCCTGAGGAAAGCTGCTGGAATTTTTTAGAAAAACATTATTTGCCTGTAATTAGGATTATCCATTACTTATGTTAATTTTCAGTGAATACAAAAGCATTACATGTAGGAAGATAGTCTGTTAATGGTTTTGAATGTGAAATATCATTCCTAATGCTTTCTATCAACTAAAACACTTGTTAAATGTAAGAGGAGTTATCTGACCCTCTTCATTCAAATAGTTTTAACCCTCTTGAACTCATACTGATATTTTATTTTTTTGTCCCCTTAAACATTTTGTTTAAATTTTTGTAATAGTGTTTTCGGTCACTGACTGATTTTAAATGAATAACTGATTTTAAATTTTAGCTGGAAAGCCACATCTTGGGATGGAAAAGCAGCTAGTTCTTGTAGCTAATGCACATATGCATTGGGACCCAGATTATTCTGATGTGAAGCTGGTTCAGACTATGATGTTCCTGTCTGAGGTAAAGAACATTATTGATAAAGCTTCTCGTAGTCTCAAGCCTGGTGTTTCGGGAGAGCTTGGAACCATTCCACTTGTACTGTGTGCAGATCTCAATTCTCTACCAGACTCTGGTAAGAGTTCTATTTCTTATTCTTTAGACTGTTAAAAGTGTGTAGCAATTTTAAATTTTTCTGTTTGGAGAATGCATTGTTTGATAATATCATTGTTTGATAATATAAGCTCTAAGGGAAGGGAAGGAGGAGAGAGAACTGTTTCATTTGTGAGTGGCCTTATTGCTTGTGCTGTAGTAAGTTGTATCTGATCTTTCAGAAGCATTTCCACTGTGATTTTGTTCCTTGTTTGTTCCTGTATTTTAAAACATCTTCCAAAAATAACTGGAAACATGAGTGTGTTGCTGATAATTCTGTTTCCTTAATTTTAAGTGTGAAAAGATATTTTACCTTTAAATTTGCTACCATACAATAATTTTCTGTCATGTTTTAGAACTTCTAAAAAACTCAATACATCCCCTTCAGAGGGGGCCTTTCCAGAGCTCTTTATTAGCATGGGACTTTGTTTCTTGACTGGATGGCAATTTTATAAAGTGCAAGGAAAGAACATTCAGTGGCTGCCATCTCGCTTGCTCAGGTACCCAGCTGAAGTGCTGTACTCAGGAGCCATCCTCCATCTCCATTCCTGGTCTCCTTCCTTCTGGCTCCATCTTGGCAACCCTTATCATCTGTTAGGGTTTTAAGGAGCAGTTAGTGCTCAACAGTAATGGAAATGGGATTCTTTTTGATCCAAGGGAGATCAGTATCACTAGTTGTGATTGCAATGACCAGTTCATGTGTCTGGTTGTCTTCAAAACAACTTTACTGCTTCTTTTACCTTCCAAAACTTTTAACACAGATGTTCTGAAATAGAGGCACAACCACTGTTTTCTGTGACACAAATCTAATCAATTTGGCTTTGCAGCCTCTTTAAAGTTAACTTCTTTTGAAGCAGTGTTTCAGAAGTCAACTTTTTTACAACACTTCATCTGAAGAACATTAAACAGCACAACCTGAGCATAAAAACAAGAAGAGGCAGCCAATAACAAGCATTGATAGAATTTTACTTCTGATTTTTTTCATCTTCTCCTTCCCAATCTATGTCTTATTAATCTTCTCTTTTTTCCTAATCCAAGTGTGTCACTTTGTTCTAGGTGATATTTGCTCTTGATACACATTGCCCTGCAGTATTTTAAAAGAACTGCTGTTGACTGTACTGTGTATTGTTAAGGTTTTGGGTACATAAAGCCTAAAGTTGCATGTCTGACTTTAGGTGCCTACACTTCTTGTTTGTAATGTGTCTCCTCACAGGTGTTGTTGAGTACTTGAGCACTGGTGGAGTGGAAACAAACCACAAAGATTTTAAGGAACTGAGATACAATGAAAGTCTTACTAACTTCAGCTGTAATGGAAAAAATGGGACAACAAATGGAAGAATTACACATGGTTTCAAGTTGAAGAGTGCCTATGAGAATGGTCTAATGCCTTATACAAATTACACATTTGACTTCAAGGTAAGGACTTGCTTATATTTTGGAAAGGTTTTCCATTTTCAAGTGTAACTAATGTGATTTGCTCTATGAAGTTGTTATATAAGCTAATCTGTGTAGCTAAGTTCACCAAGTTTATACTTAAAACATAGCAAACTAGAATGCCAAACACTTTAGTCTCCTAGAAACCACCTTATTCTTTTTAATAACTTGCAACAGCTTTGCAGGGGTGCTCTTAACCTTCCCTGTAAACAGAAGGAGTTTGTGTTTTGATACTCCAAGCTAAATGACAGGGGCACTTAAGCTGTCAAGTGCAAGGACATAATCCATGTTGCTTCTGGAAAAGTCTGAGCGCTCTGTTGGGAAAACAGAGATTGTTTTTTTTTCTCTTAAAAATCAGTGAAATGTGATTTGAAGCTCTCTGGGAGGTTGGAAATTGAAACCCACAAAAGCATAGCAGAAGTGGTAAAGGGTGGCCTTTTCTTTTGTTTTCCTAATCTATATTGAGCATCCCCCTGGATATAGGAAGAAGAAATCTCCTAAATTGTGCTATAGAGAAGGAATGGGATATTTCATTACTTGTAACACTGAGCTCACCTTTTGTTTGGAATAATAACTTGAGACAAGAATAAATACTAACAATAATCTTCTTTTCTCCATCTTGTTTTAGGGTATTATTGATTACATCTTCTACTCTAAACCTCAGCTAAACATACTTGGCATTCTTGGACCTTTGGATCATCATTGGTTAATAGAGAACAATATAAGTGGTTGTCCACATCCACTCATCCCTTCTGACCACTTCTCACTTTTTGCACAACTGGAGCTTTTGCTGCCTTTCCTGCCTCCTGTAAATGGAATCCATCTCCCTGGCAGGAGGTAGTCAAATACATTTTAGAGGGCAACCTCAATCTAACTTGTACAATTGTAAAATCTGAATATAGAGGAGTGAGGTATGGCCAACAGGGATTTTTTTTCTTAATAATCTTAATCTTAAATCTAATTATTTGCTAAAGACATAGTAAAAGCCAGGTGCTATCAACAGACACAATTCTGAGCCCAATATACTTTGTATACTGTTCCACAGCGACTGGTGCATTTGCACCTTTCTTTAATACATTACAATTAACCTTCCTGTTTCTTTTCTCCAACGTGACATTTTCATGCCTTGAAATAGGGAATTGTTATACAGTGTATTCTCTTTGCACAGTTATCTGTAGCACTACTTTTTTGAGGCCAGTAGGAACATCCACAGAACATTCTCCGTACTTCACTCCCTCCTTTTTCAGACTTGTTTGTAAAATATAGAATTTGAATTTAGCCTTTATTGATTGTATATGAACAACAGAAAACCTGATTTATGAGATTTTGTACTTTAAAAAAAAAAAAGAAAAATCAGATTTGGAAAATGATTGTATTGTAAACTAAGGCTAAATTTTTATCTGTTTTCATGTGTTATAAAGGCCAGCGTGTAAAAGAGGTTGTCACAGGTTTTCTCTGCTAATGATTTGCACTGTTAGGGTTTCGTTAGCCCTTTTATACTACTTTTTATGTTCAATTGAGAACGTGGCTTTCAAAATCCAAACCTGTAAAATATTAATATCTTACAGAGATAACAAAATACATTCTATTTCTGATAAAAAAAAGAAAGAGGCATAGAGTTCTCACAGAACAGATAAGCTGAGCAGTGAAAATAAGTAGACCTGTATGGATTGAAAGTTATTGCTGATGTGTACACAGTCAGACATTTTTTTCATCTCTAACTTTTGAAGTAAAATCTAGGATACTTGTGTACAGCTTCTTCATTTCTGTTTTAAATATTTGTCCTATCTCCACTGTGCCTGCTTAAATTTGTTCTCAACTAGCACTGCCTGTGCATGCAGAGAGATCCTGTGCTTCCTCTTTTATTTTTTTAAATAATGTTAACACTTGTGAAAATTTTATGAAGATACTTTTGTATAAGCTGTGGCATCTTTTTTCCTTTGTGAAGCATTGAATATCACACTTTGGAACATGTTCAGGTTATGGGTACACAGTTTCTAGCTTCTAATGCCCATGCACTGCTTCTTTCAGTGTCATTGCACAGTGCTGTTTTTCCCACTAAGAACTACTATCATGTGGATTCTCTTTCATTTGTGTGTTCCTCAGTTTCTGAAAGTATAATTCCTTGAAGATAAAACCTAGCCCTACATTTTCTATTAATGAAGCAGTGTAAAATAAATGCATCTTCAATACCAGGTCCCAAAGACAATTCTTCAGATCATATTTTAAAGTGACCAAGTCTTATTTTAAAGTGTCAAGCAAGACCGAAGTTATAGTGTACCCTCAGTGCCATTTGTGTCATGAAGCCAAGTATATAACAGCTTACAAATTTAACTTGTCTAGTTGTATCCTAAAAGGGAGAATTCATCATCTCCTTAAACTAATACAACTTGAATAATAAATGTAAAAAAATAAAATTAATAATGGAGATAGAGCTTGGTCTTAAACAGCTTTTGTTTCAGCTGCGGGCAGGGAAGCAAAAGGACACTGAGCATTAAGAGAAAACTTTCTAAATATTGTGAATTTTTTTATATATAAGAGAATTGATTGGTAATAATGATTCAAAATTTTATTGAAAAGTATCAGCACACAAGTGTGCTCAAACCGTTCTGTTTTAAGCTCAAAGAAAAATTGCAAACAGTTCGGATGTGTAAAATGTACATTTTAAAATTTCAATATGAGAAATTTTGATCTTGAATCCTTGTCTGGGACCTGATCTCTTGGGGTTATCTTGTTTTGGTTTTAGTTGTAAAAACACCAAACATGTCCAGTTTATAATCAGTACATTGAAATGCTGGTAGTATTGCTGTAGTAGATTTAATGCGTAGTGTTATTTTTTTTCTGTTTGTTTTTTGGGGTTTTTTTGTAAAGTGTGAATAAAAGGTGTTTTACTCATGTTTCCTTAATGATGTCTTGGTAATGTACATCATGACAATTTCCAGTAATGATGAGCCGATTTAGCTTGTCAGACTAAGCAAACTATTTTTGTTTTCTGATATCTGGATTGTGTAAGGAGTCCAGAAAGCTTTACAGAAGGGGAAGGGAAGCACTTACTCATTTTGTATTTTTTTAGAGGGGGATAATTTACTTTAATAGATGCTGGAGCTTGAGTGCACTTGTTAGATTCTAAAGGTTTGAGCTTTATCCAGTATGTGTTCTCCTCTATTGCTTAGTCTTAAAAAAATATTTGAATTTATGACAGCATGTGAAAATACGGCCCCTTGTGCTTTTGGAGACACAACTGTTCCTGCTTAGTCACCTTATGGTCTAAGGGTCCATTTGAATAACCATTTCCTCCAGCTTTTATAGTAGTCCATCAGGTCCTGATTGAAAACCCTCTGAATCCATTGAAGACACTCCTTTGACTTCACTGGGTTTTAACTGGACAGCAGCTGTGACTCAGGGGCTGAAGGAAGGAAGGAGAAATGTTTTGAAAATAGGGAAAGACCAGATGGCACCAAAACAGAGCTGAGATAAACTTTGTCAAACAATCTCTCAAAGAAAATACATTCTTGTGTCAAACAAATCTAACTCAAAAGTCTCAATTTCCAGCTATAACATAGAATAAGGCAATAAACCGTGTCTTCACAAAATCAAGATGTTTGCTTCATAGTTTTTAACATGAAATGGTTATTTGCAATATTTTTATTCGAGGTGGTTTTGGGTGTTGCCATAATGTACCTTCAGTGTTCTTGTTGTAAAAGCACATACAGCAAAAGTCACAGAACATCCTTGGGGTTGAAAGGATTTATTTAGGTAAGACCAGGCTTTTTTCCACTTAAAATACACTCTGCCATATCTTGTCTAGTTTTATTTACATTTACCAAGAGTTCTGGGTGTCAAAGTGTAAATTGAACTACACCCTTAACTAAAACAATTGTTTAGAGTACAAGACTAATACCACGAGTTACTGCTTTTAACATAACACAAGTAGGGGGGAAAGAGCATATAAATTGGTGTGTGTTGTAATTATTTTGTCCTTTTAGCAGCTTTAAATTAAAGATAAATTTGGCTAGCATTGGACTGAACTGATTTTAAGAACATTGTATGCATCTTCGATGTAACTTCAGCAAATCCTTCAAGGTTGGGTTTTTTTTTTATAGCAGGCTTAGAAAATAGCTTATGCTTTGCTTTTTCAACCATGCAAAACCTGCATGAAAGACAAAATAATTGCAACACCATTGTGGGGGAGGGGGAAAAAGAAAACTAATTACACTGTAAAACTTTGAAAAGTTCAGTTAACCGCTTCAGTAGCAAAGCCTTTCTCATCCAGCCGGACACAGTATTTTTTAGTATGTTAACTGCTATTCTTTTCTTTTGGTTGCATAAATTTGTAACACTTAAGTGTCTTGGTATGTTTAAGTAGTGTCTAAAATAGAATATCTTAGTCTTTATTCACAGTACTTCTGTATAATGTGTAATGCACTGGACTAACTCTTGTTTACCATTCATGTAACAAAAACCAGCACATTATCTGCACTAAGCTCAAAGAATGTTGCATTTGTCTATAGGCAGCTCTTCAATAAGATAAATGGGAAACTGAATATGGTCTGATGGTAAACAAGGGCTTTTACTGTTCTCTTCAGTGGAACTTTCTTCTTGGTCAAATTTTAACTAGTTAGTATTATATTTATATACAGGGTCTTCTTTTTCTTTACCAATGTATTTTCCTACTCATAGCTGACCAATAAATCCAGTATCTGTTTCAAACCTTCTTGAAGTCTAATTCATATTTTAACTTGACTTTTAAAGGTCTTCCTCAAGAGTTGCAGCCAAAGTGAGTGAAGTGTGTGAAGGGTGTAATGGAAGCATAGGGAACTTGTTAATCCCAGAAGGACCTTGCTGTGCTTCCTGATCTGCGTGCCAGAAATCTGCTCTGGTCACTTGGGGTTTGGATTGCAAAGTGAAGGCATGATCAGAAGTGCCTCCAGAGCTTGTGGAGAGCCCTGTCCAAACATACCCAGAGCTCAGCTCCTTGTGTTCATGGCTGGCCACCCTCTGACCTTCCAGGTCAGCCTGTAAGCTCAGCTGTGCAGTGAAGGTTTTGTCTCAGTCCTGTAGACCCCGCTCCTTCCTTCCTTTACTGCTCCAGAAGCACAAACACTTGGGGTCTGACGGCAGGAAGGGATTCAAATACTCAATTTACTGTGGGAGGGAAATAAAGTGAAGACTTCTTCAGCTTATTTTTCAGGAATGAGATGCAGCAAACTCTTGTCCTTGGTTTATTTTCATACCCCGTTCTTTCTCTGTGGGTGACGCTTTCTCAGTGTCTGGTGCAGCCTCACCACATTTGGTGTGATGTTCCCATCACTGGCACCAGGACACATCAGACACCTGACCACATTTGTGTGTGTGGAACACTGAGGCACCCAATATCTCTCCTGGCACCACTGCCCTCCTCAGAGCCCCTGTTCTGTGTTTGGTGCTGAAATAAATGATGTAGTTCAGTGTTCCAATAAATACCACAGGCCCCACAATGTTCGGCTTGTTTGTAGGTTTAAAATGTGCTCTCTTGAAGCAGCTGTAAGTCCCCAGCAGTGTGATGGGTCCCTTGCAGGCCTAGCTATGATTTCTCTTTGGTTTGTGTCTTGGGTGAGATGTTAACTCCCAACACATTTGCAGGATTGCCACTAGATGGTGTGGGAAACACAGACTTGAGCTGCACACAGCCTGAGCCTACTTCAGTGCATGCACAGAGTGTGCCTTGTAGAATTATTCTAACGAGTATTTGTGGGAATTCAGGCCCAGGGATGAACCTTTTCTAGTGGCAGCAGCTGGTTTGGTAACTTCCATGCCAATTAATACTGGTTTTATAAATCCAGCTGTCATGATGGGAATGAAAGGGACCTGCTTGGTCCTTGGTGACAAAATTATTCAGTAGGGCCATCCCTTGTTGCATTAATCAATCTATTTAAGGTTATATTTTCAGATGAGCACGGTTGTTACATGGTTCCAGGCTGGAGTTTACAAGCTCCTAAATAGAATGTGCAAACCTGACATGTAAGCATGGGGAGAGCTGTTTGTAGGGAAAGTGCCAACACTAACAGAGAGGCCAGTGTCCTTGTCAGAGAATGTGGGGAGAAACCAGCACCTCTCCCTCAAAGGCAAAGGACTGAGCTGAGCCTGTGTCCTGCCATCAGCCAGGGCAAAGAAATCTTGTCTTTGCTTAACTTGCAGTAAAGTAACTGGAGCTATTTTAATAGAATTGACTACACAGCCTCTTCTGATCAGACCCTGGTTTTTGGTCCTTCATACCCCATATCCACTGTCTCTTCATTGATGGAAAAAAGTTGGATTTGGGCTTTCTAGGATGAGAAGCTCCCAAATCAAAGCAGTTAACAGTGTGGCTTGTTTTTTCTACTGGCACTGGTGAGGCAGAGGAACCTTAAAACCTGTGGAATTGAGCCCAAAGGGAGAAAGGTAAGTGGAAAGGACAAGACTCAGCCAGGTACATGAAGTGGCCTCTTGGGAGAAGCCATACTTCACTAAAGGTGAGTGTTCTGGTTCTTTTCTTGCTTTCCACCCTCCTTTCCCAACCCAAGGGCAGCAATGATTTACTCTCTAAATGTTCCCTTACTCTGCATAGATAGCAGTAAATCTAATTAAGCTCTTTATAAGGATCTTTGGTACAGTTGAATATTTTCTTATTCCAAAATAAGCCTAGTGTTCTCACAGTTTATCAGTTTTTAAAAGATAAGAAGGTACATTTGGGTGACATCTTCCTAGTGTATCAGTGGACAGCACTGATTTATTTCAAAATGCTAGATATTTATTGTAAAAAAGCACACACTACAGAAAATAAAAACATACACACCCTCCTTCTGGGTTTTAGTGACCACAGAGATTTAAGTAACACAGAGGTCACTTGATGAGTGACCTCTTTAATATAATTTTTTTCTTTATATAGTTGTTTTTTTTCCTTTAATATAGTTTTACGTTTTCTCTGCAGTTTTCTGGTCTCTGGGAACATGCCAGGCTCCAGTGGTTTGTGAGAGTGCTTCATGGTGATGGGGTGCTGGGAACCAAGTCCTTGCCATGCTTGTGCACTCATGTGTGTCATGGATGTGTGTGCTGCCAGCCATGGAGCAGCTGCTGCAGGCTCAGAAGGATGAATTACAGATTATTGTGCAAGGGAAACCAATGGAGATGGTGAATATTTGCCTGACTCTGAAAACTGAGCTTCAGGGGAACCTCATCCCACTCCACAGCTCTCTGGAAGGAGGCTGCAGCCCATGGGGGTTGGTCTCTTCTGCAGCAGCACGAGAGGAAATGGTCTGTCAGGAAAAGTTTACATTGGATATTAGATTTCTCTAGAAATTTATTCATGGAAAGGGTTGTTAAGCATTGGAACAGGCTTCCCAGAGAAGTGGCCATTCCTGGAGGATTTAAAGGATGTTTAGCTGTGGCCCCTGGGGACAAGGTGGGCTTGGCAGTGCTGGGCTAATGGCTGGCCAGGTTTCCAGTGAATAGTAACAGCTACCAGTAAAACCAATACCCAGTAAAACTCCACTTGCACTGCCCAGGGAGACAAGATCAAATCAAACATGCTTTTTCTCCTTCAGCTGCTCTTTGATTTTCAGTTTCTACTTCACAAATTTATGTATTTTCATGTCCTTTGCAGTGTTTTAAATTGGAGTGTGAGGCAGCTGAAGGTTTTCAGTGCCTTAGCTGTTCTCTGAGAGGCTGCACCCTGTGTAAGTGGGGGCTGTGCCTGCTAATGCTTGCAGGTTGTAAATTAGGAGTACTTCTGGTGTAAATTGAGGTGATAGACTACAGGAAGGATTGGGATTACCCCATGTAACATTTTCTCCCTCAAGTGGAATCACTTATTCACAGACCAGTGAGGGAGGAGGGAGATGGACAAAAGGTAGAAATTTGGGTCTTGGCCCAAAACAGCCAACAGGAA